CTATCCAAACAAGAAGTGTAAAATTAAGTAAGACAAGTTATGAAAACAATTTCATGTATGTTCTCCACCTCAATTTCATCTGAAGAAATAGTAAGAAAACACAAAAATTATTTCTGAAATATACTTCTTTAAAATATACAAATAGAATCAAAGCCATGAATCTCCTAGGGTTACCATGTCAAAACAGCAATCTTTGTTGCCTAATATAATCAGTTAAAACTCTTATATTATAAAAATTCTAATCCTCTAGATGAAAAATCATTGTTATAATAATGGAAACATATCTCAAATGTGTCCCGTCCAACTTTGTATTATCCAAATATTGGGTTCCCCCAACTCCAATTTATTATGTTGAAGTTATCCCCCCCCCGCCATGTGCTTCTGTTAGGAGGTAGGGCTTTCCAGGGGTGTGTAGGTCATGAGAGATGAGCTGTGTTTAAGCCACCCTCATCAGGATGTTCTCTTCAGGCGGCCTAAACACACTGCGGCACCTCTTTGAGTATTTCAGTCAGTCTTCACAGCACGTAGAGGTATGTCCATTGCTATATCACTTCCCAGATATAGAAATAGAAACATTGCCAGAATTTATCTTAATGATGTATTCATTCTGTGGAGTCAGTATTGTGGCATAGCACATGAAGCCAGTGCCTGCAATGCCAGCATCCCATATGGGCCCTGGTTCAAGTCCCATTGCTTCACTTCTTATTCAGCTCCCTGCTAGGGTGCCTGGGAACACAGTGGAAGATGGTCCAATTGCTCATATTCTTGCACCTAATGGGAGACCAGGACAGAGTTCTAGACCAGCCTGGTCCAACCGCTGACACTGTGGTCATTTGGGGAGTTAACCAGTAGGTAGAAGATCGTTCTCTCTGCATTTCACAACCCCCTCTACAACTCTGCCTGTCAAATAAAATAATCCTTAAAACTCGGGATGAAACTAGAATCAGTTACATATTACTACACGTGAAACTGCCCTAAACTTAATGGCTTAACAAATAGCAGCCCTTAACTTAGCTTATTTCCTTCTTGTCTGGGAGCTCAGCTCATCCTGGCTGTCTTTGCTGATATAGCTGTGGCCGGCGGATTGGGCAGCCTCATTCACACTTCTGAAAGTAGACTGACTACCGACAAAGATAGCATGGATAGCTATTGTATTATCCATGTCCTTTAAAAATACTCATGTATATATTCATTTATTTTGAAATTAGTGCCATGGTTATTGCAATTGGATCTTTTTATTTTCTAGTTCATGTGTGCTTATATTTTTTTAATGATTTATTTATTTTTATTGGAAAGGCAAATATACAGAGAGGAGGAGAGCTAGAGAGGAAGATCTTCCGTCCAATGGTTCACTCCTCAAGTGACTGCAATGGCCAGTGCTGCACTGATCCAAAGCCAGGAGCCAGGAGCTCTTCCGGGTCTCCCACGAGGTTGCAGGGTCCCAAAGCTTTGGGCTGTCCTTGACTGCTTTCCCAGGCCACAGCAGGGAACTGGATGGGAAGCAGGGCCACTGGGATTAGAACCTGCAACCATATGGGATCCCAGGCATGCAAGGCGAGGACTTTAACCACTATGCTATTGTGCCTGGCCCCATTTGTTTTGACATTTAAACATCCTAGGTCCTGACTCATCCCAAAGGGCCTGGCCCTTCCCTGGCCTAGGTAATCCCTTGATATAGTAAATATCTCACAGATGTATGTGTATCTCATAGGCGAAATGACCAATTCAGATCCATACCACCAGCCACTTTCTTTATTGGGCTTTCCCTCTCTGGCCCAAAATTCAACTGCCTTAATTATCCCCAGGCCCAGGTTCCAGACAATCCCTATGTCCTAAAGCCTACTGACATGACTCCTTTTTAAAAAAAAAAAAAAAAAAAGAGGTGGCGGAAAAAGACTTGTTTATTTGAAATGTAGATGTGCTGGTTCACTCCCCAGGTGACCACAACAGCTAGGGGGACTGAGCTTGTCCAAAACAGGAGACAAAAATTTCCCTGTATCTCCCACATGCGCATAGGGTCCCAAGAACCTAGGCCATCCTCCTCTGCTCTCTGCAGGCCATAAGCATGGAGCTGGATTGAGAGTGGAGCAGTAGAGCATCAACTGGCACCCATATGGGATGCCGACTGTGCAGGTGGAGGGTTAACCTGTTGAGCCATCACACTGCCCCCCCCCACTAAAATTATCCCAACTGCTGAATCCTAAATCTGCTCATCTTTCATTTGCTTATTGCTTTCCAAAGATATCACAGTGATTTTTGCCCACAGTCTCCCCTGTCTACCTTTGCACTGTCTGTTTCTAGTCATGTGTCCCTGCTGTAGTTCAGCATCGCTCTCTTCTTGGATCTATGGATGAAACATGCTTTCCTTTCATTGGCAGTCATCTCCTGACCTAGTAGCTTCACCACGCCTGAAAAGTAATAAAATCTACATTTTAGGACAGTTGGATAATGTATCACCTTATCACCCAGCAGGCCGTCCTTGGCATGTTGACATGGGTGGTAAGTTTCCAAAGGCAACACAAAGACAGGTCACATGCACAAGTGCCGTCAAATAGCTGCTTGGGTCATGGTTGCTACCGTCTCGTGTGAGGCACATGGCCATGCAGGGAGACAGCGGGGGTGGGGGGTATGGCTGCGGGGAGCCTTGAGCCGACAGCGGCTGTGATTCCTGTTGGTCACTTCACTGGGTTGCCAGGGGCCTTCATTACCCAGCTGCCCACCTCCTCTCTGATTTGAGCAATCATTACAGTTTGACCACTGAAATACACAAGGAATTCTGTGCTTTCACTGCTCGTCAAAAAACAAACAGATTGTTAGTACTACCCTGATGCTAAGCTTATGAGCTAATACTAAATTCTGCTTAAGAAGAGTGGCTCCTTATGACCAGAGAATTTGGAAAATGTCAAACATTTTGGAAAATATCCGACATTTTGGATCATATGCAACATTAATTATAGTCATTGTCATCAATCCAAAGAGGGGATAGTGACCTAATAATAACAGTCACAGAAAACTTTACCATTATGCCCCTAAAATCCCCGCATGGTGAACATGATTAAAAACTCTCTTTTCAAAGATGTACAGATCTTTTCCCCATAAACAGGCTGAGGCTTTTCAATCTTCTTTCCAAATGCAAACCCTTTAGCTTTCTTCCGCAGCTTTCAAAATGAAATTCAGAACTTCCTTATTTCGTAATTCTTCCTTTCTACCATAACTCACCATTACTGTCATCCCATATCAACCTTCTTATGCTGTAAAGCGCTACAGGGGTCCCAAATAGCTTAGGAAGATGAAAGAGAAAATAAATTGGAATCGCAATGCCTCATCATGTTTCCTCTCAATATTAGTTTACCTACAAGAAAAAAAAAAGTTGAAACAGAAATGACAACAACAAAAGCCCTCTATAGCTCTTAGTCCACTTCCCACAAATTCCAGAAGTAGCCAGGAGCTGGACAAATCTATTGGTGCACAAACAACCCACTTGCTGTTGCGTTGGATACGTCAGCCCCAGATTTTTCTCTTAATAATAAATTGTTTTCCAGGCCAATTGTGGTCAAAATCTGATCGAACTTAGTCTGCACCAGAGCCCTACTGCTTACTCAGCAACTGGAGTCATTTACTTATTAGTTTTGACTAGTTTCTAGCAGAAGAACAGTCTCTGTGATAAGGGGAAGAAATTAATAGCATTGACTGGCCAAGATAGCAGCAGTGGCATAGCCAACTAAGCTTCTGCCTGGTGAGCTAGCATTCCCTCTTAGCCTCTGCACCCACGAAACCCAGAAGCAGCTCCTGGCTTCACCCATCCCAGTTCGAGCCATTGCAGCCATTATTGGTAATAATCAGGTCACATGACTATTTTAAGCATCTAATGAGATGATTAAAAACGTAACTCCTAAGTTGGTCCCTGATAAATAGCTCATGCCATTTTGTGTTACCTGTTAGTCTTTGATACTTGCGGTTTGTAATAATAACTCATTTCCTTAAAATGTATATGGACAAAGCAACTTTGGATTTGTTGTCACACCCCACACTGACTTTAACTAACTTCATGCAATTTGCAGTATAGGCCCATCAGATATTTTTAACTTTTAATCTTGGCAAATCTATCATTTCATCTGACCCCTAGAAAAAATAAACTCCCTTTGCTAAATTCATTGGCTAGGTTTTCTACATCTATATTTTTAAAAGATAAGCAAAATTGAAAAAACAACACATTGTATTTTAAACCACAAGGATTTGTGTTTCATCTGAGAAAAAAAATGCAAAAGGAATAAAAATTATCTTCTTTGTTTCCTTTTCTGTGTTGTATTTCCAAAATCCACAGAGACCAGAAAATAACTGGTGTTACTTGAGAAGAGAGAGATAAAAGCACTGTTGTATTAATAGCTCAAAGTCAGCTTTAGGTAACATATCTTCCTTTGTGATAATATTTTTGGGCTGCATTGTTGGCCTGTGTTTAGTTGGAAAAAAAATACCTGTTGTTGAAATCATAATCTGTGTAGAATCATTCTTAATTTTATATTTGAATAACATTATCAGCATGATGAGCCTTCAGTTGCTTCTTTCTTGTAGTTTGGTTTTGAATCTGTTGACTGGGGAGAGTATGGGGAGGTGTCATTGTGCACAGTCTTGTGTCTTGGCACAAAACAATACATTTACTGTGAGATTTTGGTGTGTGTACTTCCCAGAGATCCAAATGTGTTCCTTCATTGTAAAAGATACACACTGGGGTCAAGAGAGCAGGGCATGCAATCCCTTAATACCCAATTAATACCTATTAAGTGAATTCTGAGATATATCCAGAATATTTGATGCACATACACTCACAATCATTTTATAAAAAGTCATAAATATTTCATAAAGTGAGGGCATGGCAATGTGAAAATAAACCAGGTGTCTGCATATTGCACAAGTTCATAAGAGCCCAAGTTCATAAGGGCGTAGTGACTCTCAAAGTCCTTTATAACAAGCATCCTAACATGCTTCCTCTTTTTTCACAGATGACCCCACTCAACAGGAGGATAATGACCCTCCAAAAGAATACGACCCTGGACAATTTGCAGGCCTTCTCCATGGCTCCTCCCCAGCCTGTGAGTCCCCTGAGGATCCTTTCCATCTCTATGGGAAAAGAGACCAGTGTGAAGCAGGACCAGAGGAAGTCAGTATGGCGAACAGCCCTTTGCCTTTCAAGCAGACGCCAGTAACCAACAACCCAGAGCCTTTGGTTAAGAAAGTTAAACCCAAAGTGGTTAGTAGAACGATTTTTCACAAAAGAAGCAACCCAGTAGAAAACCACACCATAGTTGGCACAAGAACATCCAGGAGTGGATCCCGGAATGGAGACCAGTGGGTTATGAACACAGGTGGATTTGTAGAGAGAGCCTGTACTCTGGGGAGAATACGGTCCTTGCCCAAATCTCTGATTGATATGCATTTATCAAAAACTGTGTCCAAATCGGACTCTGATCTCATCGCCTACCCTTCAAAGGAGAAAACAGCGCGAGTTAACTGGAGTGAATCTTCAGTGGAACGTGGTTCTAAAGGGAATTCTGAAAGAACACCTTCCTTCACATCTGAATGGGAAGAAGTAAGCCTTGTTCTTTTTGCAGTTCTCTGTTTTAGACTTTGGAGTCAAGAAAAATTTTGGAGGTGGGGAAAGATTTCTGCCTTTTTCTTTCAGAGTAAAAAAAAAAAAAGGCATGAGGATCCAACTGGAAGGGCGAGTGTCTGTGGATAATACGTGGTCATTTAACAGCAAGTATAAAAGCACAATTCACATATGTGGGCATGTCTCTTGTCCCATAGATATAGACATCAAGTGGAAGTAATAACTAGCGAGGAGGTGAAAGAGAATGCTCGCATCGTGTCTCACCATGTACCACAGCTGGCAAATTAAGAAAAATGTGGTATTTTGTTCTGTGACATTTTGTCATTTGCTAAATGCTTTGTTAGCTCCCTTCTTGAAATAATCTTATATTTTTAGAGGACATCCATGTAATTTTAAGCTTGATGGTAAACAGAGAGACCCTGTCTGATTTGCATGAAACATACAATAAAGACACACACACACACTTAACATTTCCCTTTTCTAAATATTAAAAATGTTTTGGGTCTAAGGATTAAGCTTGATTTACAGAGTCTTTAATTTCATAAAATTATTGAGAAAAGAAGTATTCTTTAACAGCTAGAAAAACACATCCTTTTAAACCAGGAAATCTGCATCATAAAATATAACTTTTTTTGTATTTTAAAAAATTTACTCAAAGAATAGATGATAGTATTTATTGGGTTTTCACTCTAACATGACACATTTTGCCTTTCAAAAGACTGTGTAATTAAATTAGGATTTGAAGCACAATAGGTCATGTAGCATTCTGAGAACTGGAAATAGATATGGGTGTGATACTGACATCCTGAATTGAACTGTTTGGGGAAATTACTTGATATCTCTGCATCTGTTTCAGAGTGAAAGAGCATCTAAGTAGGCTCATTGTCCTTTCTGAAACCTGCCCATCTTTGTCGGGTTGACTACAGGAGGAGGAAAAGCCATTGAACCACAGATGGCTGAATTCAGTCATATCTCTTTACAAATTGTAGATGGATGGTTTTTTTGTTTGCTAGGATAGCCATGTTTTTAGACCTATTAACTGTGACTTCATATGAAATATTTTTTTAAATCCTTTTTGGAGACAAGATGAAATGCCAACTAACTTGTCTTTTAGAATTAAGTTGTTTCTGTACCTTCATAACTTTAGATCAGATTGCACCAATCAGCATGGGGCCGGCTGATCAAGTTAGCTAGAACTTGGTTCCATTGGCCATGCCTACAAGCTGAAATCTGCCCCTGCACCAATGAGATGAGACCCGTCTTCTCAGACAGAAGAAAGCAGGTGTCACATGAAGTTATCCAGAGCCCCTTTCCCTCTGAGTTTAAAGATTCACAATTCCTAACTTACTGATCTGGCTAAATATGAAGCTCATTTAAAATTAAGAGCAAAGGCAAGCTACTTTTGAATGTGTGTAAGAAAGTGGGAACACAATTTAAATTCTAAAAGCCAATTCCAAAGACATTTACTTCCTTTTCAACCTTTGTCAGTCTCTGAATCGTAGTATTACTGTGGAAATAATACTAAGAATGTATCCTCCTGGCATTTGAAAGTTATTTTAAAATGTAAAGTTAAAAGTGAGCATAATAATCCATTTGCATGTTTTTGATTTCTCACAGATTGACAAAATAATGAATTCCATAGATGTTGGAATCAACAGTGAACTTGAAGAAATGAATGGTAAGACCGCAAGTAAGCGAACTTTCTCTTATAATATAGTGAATAAATATTCTTAAGAAATAGCCAGAAAATAGTATGAATCTTTAGGTAATTTGATGGTAAAATAACCATCTTAATACCGATAGCTACAAATTATTTCCTTCCATTGTCAGATCCAATAACCATGACCTGAAAACAATGTCACTTACTAAGTATTATGTTTTGATAGGGAGATTTTTTTTTACTATGCCAGTTCACATCAATGAAGTTTCAACTGTACATAGAGCTCAATAATTAAAATGCTGTGGAATCTGATGACTAAATACACTACTTGTATTATTCAGTAAAACTCTCTATTCTTCCTCAACCAACGTGAATAACAACACTTCCTTTATTTTAAGTTCCAGCTTGGCAAGAGTCATGTGTTATTCATGTTTGTGGTACCTAACAGAGCATCTCCCAAGGAACTAGTCTGATAATCAAGATTTAATATGTTATCTGCTCTTAAGTATTATTACTTTCCCTGCAATTAAATGGAAAGCCATTTCGAAACTTAAAGACTAGTTACTTAGTACTGATGAACAATGAGCAATGTCAGATAGCTGAGCCTGAAAATAATAGCAATATTCATGCTAATGAAATGAGTATGCTTGAAAGAGTCAAAAGACTTGAGTTCCATTTCTGCCCTGCCACTAAGTAGCAATGCAATGGGGATTAGTTAGGTCTGTGGTATTTGGAGTTGAAAAGTCAGACACAAGAGTTCGTGTTTTATTGAAGATTGAGTTCTGTGAGAGAGGTCTGAATATGTCCTAGGTCAATCACTATAGACTATTACAACCGTTTGATGACTTCTGAGACCCTACATTGGGCTATAATTTATTGAGTGGGGAGAACTTCTGTATTGAGTAAAATGTAAGAGGATATCAAAACCACAGCTATTGAGATATAAAATATTTTAATGTGATATTTTTAAAAATTTAAATGTGCCAAAAATACGTGATGAAGAAATATCAAAATTTAAATAAAGAAGAATCCAACCTGCTGTGGCATGACTTGGGCTCCCTCACCTTATCTGATTCCCACAAGTGGTTACAAAAAATGCACCACGCCTCCAGCTGACCTTGCTAAACCAGAGACCATGACCATCTGGTCAGAGTCAAAGCTGAGTAACTGAGATGCCCTTTCACAATGAGTCCAGCTTGTTGCCTAGACACTAGGAGCTCTGGAAATGCTGGGAATGCTGCCAGTAAGCCAGTCAACAGGTCAAAGTGGAGAATGGTATTAAAGCCTGGTCACATGTCTGACAAGACACAAATGAGATGGTCAGCTGAACTGGGAAGATGGAAATACTGGCCTTCACAGCCATAATCCTCCCCTCCCATTTTCTTCCTTTCCCTAGATTTTTTTTTTTCTCTCCTATTCTTAACTTGTGGAGGCACTTTCCAGATCACTTCTATGTCTACATTTTTCTTCCTTTTGGGGCTTATGGTGGACACAGGATCATTTGTATTACTTCAGACCTGACTCTGTAAGTGTGTGGAGCGCCTGCAGTTGGACCTACATTGTAATGACAATTTCAGTCCAAAACAGGAGCACTTTGAAAGTTTTAGATTTAGTTGAAAATATATACACACATGCCTGGTGACTTGTTTTTGGCATTCCCTATTAGCCTATTTGAAAAAATTATTATAAAGCAGTATATGGACCCAGCATGATGGCTCAATGGCTAATACCTTACCTTGCAAGCACAGGGATCCCATATAGACACCAATTCATGTCCTGTCTGCTCCATTCCCATCCTTATGGCCTGGGAAAGTAGTCAAGAATCGTCCAAAGCCTTGGGACCCTTCACCCACATGAGAGACCTAGAAGAAGCTCCTGGCTCCTGGCTTCAGATTGGCTCAGCTCTGGCTATTGTGGCCATTTGGCAGGAAAATGGAAGACTTCGCTCTCTCTCTCTCCTTCTCTTTGTAAATTTGCCTTTCTGATAAAAATAAATACATCTTTAAAAGAAGGGCAGGAGGCAGTATATCTCACCATCCTTGCAATTTTCCAATGGGGCAAAAGAACTAGCCACATTATTAAGATGACTGACATTAGGAGTTTCTTCCAAAATTGTGATCTGATGACTACCTGCATCGCTTCTAGCACTAGAAAAATAAATGAAGACTCCTGAGCCACATGTTACCGAAACAGCCTTTCTGGAGGATGGAGCCTGATAAATCTGCCATTTGAACAAACATTCCACATGACTGTAAGCATAGGAAAAGTTCTGGAATGATCCGTTTATACTGGATGGGCCTGGGTGGCTGACAGCAACACTGCCATCTGCAGTGGCTGTAACTAAAGAGAATTTTCAGTTTTGAATGAGACTCTCATAGAGTACACAGCGCATTTCTCTGGTGCTGGTACAAAAAGACTGTTGAGCCTCTTACTAATGAAGTGATTTAGAAATTCAGATCTTTTAGATTCTGAAACTCAAGAATTATTAAATTAGTCCCCAAATTATATAAATGTGTTTAGACATAACAGATATGATCATAGTTCTATGACAGCACGTGCAGCCAGTTCTCTCACACAGAAACACTCAAAACCACTGAGGACTTTTCCAGGACCCACAACAATAGTCTAGAGGCAGAATCTGTCACATATTTTACACAGGCTTCCAGGAAAATTCTGGCATGCAAGTTTTTGGTGGATGTTCAAATAAGGATTTCTTTCTTTCTTTCTTTCTTTCTTTCTTTCTTTCTTTCTTTCTTTCTTTCTTTCTTTCTTTCTTTCTTTCTTTCTTTCTTTTTTTTTTCTTTTTTTTTTTTTTTAGTAATTGTGCAACTTAGAGATGAAGTGGCTGCCCAGTGAGTCAGTGTAAGTTCCTGGATACTGAGAATGTCAAAGCTGAAAAAAAAAGTAGAGTTTCTCTTCTGGAAGGACAGTTCATGCACTTAAATTCCACCTGCAGACCAGGGTATCATCAAATATTACTCTCATGCACTGAAATTCTTCAAACACATAATAGAAAGATAAAAATCAACATGATTATGAAAGTCAGATACATAGAGAGGAGGAGAGACAGAGAGGAAGATTCTCTGGTGCTTCATTCCCAAGTAGCTCAATGGCTGGAGCTGAACTGATCCAAAGCCAGGAGCCAGGAGCTTCTTTCAGGTCTCCCATGCAGGTGCAGGGTCCCAATGCTTTAGTTGTCTTAGACTATTTTCCCAGGCCACAAGCAGGGCACTGGATGGGAAGCGGGGCCACCAGGATAAGAGCCATGTGGGATTCTGGCGTGTTCAAGGTAAAGACTTTAGCCACAACACTACCATGCTGAACCTGCAAAGCTGACTTTGAAGAACATTTTAGTGGTTAAAAAAAGTAAAAGGCACCAATTAATTCCCTCTAGTTTATTCTCTTCCCTTCTTTCCTATCATTATTTATTGTTACTCTATTTTGATAATGGAAGTGGAAGTAAAAACCTAGTCCCAAAAGAATCATCACTGTTAACAAAGACTGGTTCTGTAGGTGCTTTTCTGTTTATCTCCTAATTACACACTAATTATGTACCAAGTAATTGACTGTAGTATATAGCATTCCAATTGGCCCTTAGACCAGTTGTAAATGACAACCTTTCTGAGCTAGTGATTTCCCCCTCTAATAATGAGATTTAACTAGTGAGGTGATAAACAGTCTCACAAAAGATGACATTTTGGTTATGGAAGGTGGTCAGGAAATCACATGGCATGAGAAAGAAGGCATATGGGTTTACATCTCAACTCTGTTCATTATTGCTACTTCATCTTAGGCAGCATCTTCAGTCGCCCCATGGAAAGAAGCAGGGATGTACAAACAAGATCTGCATAGGCATGTGCAATGACATACAAACAGGATCGGACACACGTATCAACTTTGAGCTCTCACTCTGTCTTATAAGGGGGGTTGCCCAACAATATGGGGAAAGTACATGTATTTTCTTTCTTTAACGGGAAGGGTGTGGTATCGGATATTCTCATAGTTTATGTTAAATTGGCTTTTTCCCTGGAGTTGTTTTGGTGTCTCTACTGGAATACAGGGTGTAACAAAATTGCCAGTCAATTGGTGCCAGAAAAGAGTATTTCCTTAAAGGAGTCAATCAACCCCCAGGGTGACCTAACAAAGGAAAGAAAAATCTAATACTTTGAAATGTAAATGACCTAAATTGTTCTTGTGAAGGATTAAGTGTCCTTTTTTTCTTCATGATGGATAGAATAATGTACCAAGAAATTAGTACGGAGTAAATTTAGAACGAGTTAGAATAAATATTACTTTGCATACGAGGAGGACCGTTGAGTCATTGCTATGTCTGGAGTCATGCTTTCAATGTTTGTCTTCCAAAATTCAAACTTTTGGAAATGTATTTCCCAAACTGATGTGTTAACGATAGCTGATGGTGAGGGAGGATGTTCAAACAGGATGCGATTGTAAAGGTGGGGCTCCTTTGGTGGCATACATGCCTGCTGGAAGCCAGAGATTCCTTCTGCCGTGTCATTACAAAGCAAGAAGGCCCACACCAATGTCAGTTACACACCGTTGGACATCTCAGCCTGTAGAACTGACCCAAATAGACTCTTGTCATGTAAATGATTTAGTCTCAGGCACTTCGTTATAGCGAAAGAAGTAAAGACACCTGGCTTTAACAAAGCTGGCCAGTCTTATGAACATTCATGATACTTTTATTACCTAAAAACCTCTCAAGGTTTTTGGAGAATAAAATCATAGCAAGGAAGATACCCATAAGATCAGATTCAGTGTTAAGTTTTCCATGCATTTGCACATTTGGCTTTAGCATTTCTGTCTTCCTTCCAAGAACCTCCACATTTCAAGTGTTGAGTTTGTTTTTCTTTGGTTAGTTGGTTGGGTTTTACTCTTTCTGCATTCCCAGGTTTCTGTGTTTAGAATTCCTTCAGAGGGCAGCTTTTGAAGCTAGACAAGCCTGATGTCAAATTCTAGATTTGTAATTCACTGGCTCTGTGCCTGCTCTGATGCTGACATTATCACCTATA